TGGTTTAGTGGTGGCCTTGGCAGCGCTGGGTTAACGGTTGGACTTGATGATCTTCAAGGTCTTTTCCAACCTAAATGAGTCTATGATTCTAAGTTGAATGGTATAAGGAAAAACAGGACATAAGGAAAAGCTTTTTCCCCGTGAGGACAGCCCAGCAGTGGAGCAGCGGCCCAGGGAGGTTCTGCCTGCTCCATCCTTGGAGGTTTTCAAGACCCGACTGGCCAGAGCCCTGAGTGAGCTGGTGGAGGCCAAGCTGCCCCTGCTCTGAGCTGGAGGTTGGACTGGAGACCTCCCGAGGTCCTTTCCCACCAGAATTATTCTGTGATTATGACAGGAGTCAATCTAAATTTAGATTTATTAAAGAAACCCCCAAATGTTTATAATAGAGAACATAAACGCGAAGCTGACACGGAATTTGAAAAGAGCTGTCTAAAGAAGAATTGTTTTCCTCCTCTTCCCATGCACGCCTGAGCCACCATTGGCGTGGGCACCTCAGGCGCTGCATGACCGAGAAGTGAGGTGACACAATGAACAAAAGCAGAATTGTTTTACCTAAGCCGAGAAAAAGGCAGCAATTCAAGGGCATACAGAATAGGTGAACTGAATATACAAAACCTTAAATACTTGAAATGATCTGCATAATGGAAGTACGGGATTCACACAACCCCCTGAACATACTGGTGGTGGTCATCATCTAGTACTTTCTTGACATTCACTGCTGCCTGCAGTTCATCTTCAAACCAAAGAATTTGTGAAAGCTTTCTTGAACTTGTTTATGGATTTTTGTTACTCGTGAATGCCAGGTCTCTCTTTTTATCTTTCTTTTTTTTTTAAAGCTTTTGACCTCAATAACAGGAGGTTAATTTTGCATTGCAGAGGATGCTTCCTCTTACTGATTTTCAGTTTTGCTGTATTTCAGTTTGGCTGAATGTTTTTTTTAACCTACTGAAGGGGCTGAATGGGAACAATTTAATAAATTGGAAAATAGGAATCTAACGTGTCCGTTCATTATCTGTATCCTTCTGTTGTTGGTCTCCCTCATTTGTGTCTTTACAAACTGAAAGTCGGTCTGTCTTCTGTTTGCCTCACGTCGCAGATTCTGCAGGCTCCTGCATATTTTTATTCTCTCTTCTAGTTCTAACTGTATTATCATCATCATCATCATCATCACTATTATTATTTAAGATGGTGGTGATCTCTAGTTAACAGTCCCACTCATTTGTATACATGCACCATAATATTTCCTGTTGTTTCCTATTCTGAAATGCCACAGTATACTTGATCTGTCATAATTTATTCTGTTGAGTTTATTTGGGTTTGGATTTCATTTTTTTCGAAAACACACTTTGGTTTGGGTCAATGCTGCAGTTTAACCAAATTGCCTTCTTACTTCCTTGTCGTAGTCACGTGTGCCTCTTAGGCTGTGTTATGGTTGCCTTAACAGTCTTTTCTGAAACAAAGGATTTTATTTTCTTCCCTTCAGTGTCTTAATCTTTGTTACTCTCCTAATTAAAAAAGACTTTCCTAATAGGTAGCGTCTCTGTTGAAGGTTTTCAGTAAGTTGCTACTTGCTTCTTCAGGAAATGGAAATTAATTACATTATGGTACTTTGAAGTTATTTGTATAATCACTTCTTGAACCACCTCCAGGTTTGGAATCCTTTCTCTTTGCATTCTCTAGAGATCATTTTTCATGAAACAACACAACTTACGATGTTCTGCAACCATTAACTTTTTGCTTTAGATGCGAGGTAGGAAATCTGCCTACTTGTAGCAGTGCATTTAAATAGACGGTATCAGTGTCCCGCGCGAACCGAATGCGTTTCAGAAGTCGATTTGAACTTTTGACGTAGTTGGAATCAGAACCCAGCTGTCGGTTGCTGTAAAACAAGCGGTTTGTACTGTGTGCTAATAATTTCTACGAATATTTTGAATTTCTCTTTGGTCATGTTCTTCTGTCCTCCTCCCCAGGCCTTGAAACAGCAGCAGCAAAAGCAACAGCAGCAGCAATGCAGAGCAGGCATGCCCGTGTCGTCTAACCAGCACGTCCTTCTGAAGGCCGTCAAGGCAGCCAGTGACTCCACACCTGCAAAATCCGGTATGTGGCAGTGACGCTCCGGTGCGTTCTCTTACAGCGTGTCTCTGTAAGTTGTCTTTTATTGTTCTTAGGGGACGAGAGAAGAAAGTGCTCTTTTCATATGGCGCTCTTTTTGTGTCGGAAATAGTCTAGCTTCTGTTTTCCTGGCTTTGATTTTATTAGGAATGCATTCAGTTAAGAATAGATCTTGAATAGATCGTATTGTGCCGTTGTCTGATTAAAAAGCTTCTTTCCATGATAAATGTCTTCCCCTACAGTTGCCTGTACGCTGTGGTCAGGTCCTTCTCATGGCTAAGCAAATTAGGTCGTGTTTCTCTTCGTATTTATTTTTTTCCAAAGTGGCTTCTCGTTCTGTAGTGTGGCTTTCATGTCTTGTTCCAAAGATGTACATTCTGACCTGAAAGATCCCCAAGAGGTTTCCAGCATTTACGCTGCATCAGAAGTTAATGAGATCACTGCTCTTTTCTTGTTCCTTCAGCAGTGCATTAGCTCCCTTACCAGCAGCAGCATTTCACTAGTTACCATGCATTCTTGGTAGCTACTTCTAGCATGTTTTCTCTAAATTCTTTTCGCTGTAACTGATTTCCATTATAAGCTCCTGGTTCTGTGAGCGTGACTCAAGTTGTTTTCTTTTACATGCAAGAAGTGTCTCTGTGTTTGTATAGACTGATTTTCACGTTGTACAAGTAAAGGACTTCGTAGACTAACACTGTCATTATTTTGTCAATCCACAATTTGTCAAGTCACCTGTGAACATTACCAGTAGTGGCTCTGTACCATCTCCCCGATCACTGAGCACCAGCTTGCTTTTGTTCGTACTATGGCAGGAATCAGGACAGTGGGCCTATCAAAGCAAATCAAACACGTTTGGCCTGGTGACCTGCGTGCGTCCCACACTGCTGCTAGCACATGCATGAAGTGGCGTGTAAAAGCAGAGCAGGCAGGTAGTAGAGCTCTTCCAGAATTAAGCGTGTTGTGCCCAGGGGCCTCCAAAGCAAGAGGAGGTGTCTTTGTGTCTCACAGAGTCGGTGGGATTTTCTTCAGTGGCTTTGCCTAACCTGGGGGGTGGGAATGCTGACTTTGTAAATGCCTTCACACTGTAAAAACTGCTCGTTGTTTGTTGAGCTGGCCTCCTTAGACCTTGATTTGATTAACTCTAATTAGCAAACAGGCAATGAACAACTATAGTTTATTCAACAACTTCTTGCCACTCGTGACTTTTGTAGACATCTCTTTTCCAGTCTGAAGAGTCCTGCTGTATTTTCTCATTCCTCATATGGAAAGCTATATGCTTTTTGCAATAGAGAATGAAAACTGTACATAGTATTCCGAGTGCAGATGCATTCTGAATCTGTATAGCATCGTTTTGGTATTCTATATTTTGTTCATCTTTTGTTAACAATTCCTAGCATTCAGTTTGCTTTTTTTGACCCAGCCAAGAGCAGGCATTTTCCTAGAACTGTTGAGATTCTGAGACTCTTCCCAACACTATGTATGTACGGTTAGGGGAGTTCTGTTTGTACATCACGTTTCTGTACAGTGAATCATACCTGTTCTCTTATCGCTCATTGTCATTAAGTCCTTCTGCAGCTGTAATGGGGAGGGGGGCGTTGGGGCCTAAGAAATAACCGAATTTAGGTACAGAGGGTTGGTACATGTGTAATGGAGCAGGGAGAGGCAGGAGCGGGATCAGCAGCATTGTGTACAAGAGGAAAAGAGGGGTGGCTTTTTGGGGCTGAGATCTCTTCCAAAAAGCAACCGTCTCCTCCTCTGCTTCCCAGTCCTGCTGATTCTGATCCTGCTCCACCATCTTCTGCAACACGTACGCAGTCCCTGCCTGTTTAAGCTGTGCGTTCTTCTGAAGTCCCTGGCCTTACACCCCATCTGTTACACTAATTATCATGGGTAAAATGCTGTGCTATCTGTCAAACTCAGACACTTCTATGAGACAGAAATTCCCTCCCCCTCAATAATTACCCTGTTTTTCCATCCTTCACCCTTGATTTACTTGACCGGTCCTGATTCATCTCAGAAAGATGATGATCATGAAAGTGTAACCGTTGAGGAAGACGCAGCAAGAACGCTCACTCCGAAAGACTTCAGTCAGGTGTTCTCCCACAGATGGAGTGGCTGAGACTGGCAGTCATGAAGCTTGCCCAAAAAAAGGGAGGGAAAGCAATCAGATCACAACAAAATTACATCTCCAGTCCCAAATCCTAAGCTGTTTGCAGTCTTCTTAAAAATGACCTTTTGGTAAAGCCTGATAACATGGGTAATACCAGACCGTTACCGTACAGAAGGCAGGTGTGCCTTCATTATTCCTGTAGCATCTGTTAACCTGATTTCAGTCCCCAAACTCCTTCCCCTTCCCAACAGTCAGTCCTTCAGCCAACAAGCCTGTGCTTAGAACAAGAAACAACTGCATGCGGGGAGAGGAGCTGCATCTCTGCTACTGAGTTAATCATTGCCAAAGCACTGGGCAGAAGAACTGGAACTCCATCAATCCATTCTGCTAAATTCCCTGACATAGCTCTGGCCCAGGACAAGCTAGCAGTCTCCTTGGCAATCCTTGGCACGGCTTGGTGTTCAGCACAGGCCAGGCATCGTTCCCTGCAGGCAATTTGAACGTGGCCAGCCCGGCTTGGGGGAGACAGAAAGCGTGAGGATGTGAACACGGCCAGTTTGTGCCAGTTGTTCTTAGGGCCAGGGCAATGCCCAATGTCACCGCTCTGTTTACGGGTGTAGAAGTAGCCAGAGAGGATTATACAACAGCAGTAAGACAATATTAGCACGAAAAACATTTTGTTCTTGGATATCCTTGGTGTAATTACGTGAATGTTTAGCTGAAATTCAGTCGTCAGGTTAAGAAATTTCATAGAACCGTCAGAAACTGGGCCCAGGTGCACCCCTGAGAGCTCCTCTCGCCCACAGCCTTTCCTCAGGGCAGGAGCTGTGATGCATTCCTGACAGATGTTTTCTTCAGTCTGTTCTGAGAGATGCCAAGACCAAAAGCTCCCAGCAAGTCTTGCCCTTCCTGCTTTGTTAACTTTATCCTTAAAATGTTTTTCTTAGCCTCTAATCAGAATGTTTTCTTGCTTCCTTGGGTTTAAACCCAAGATTTCCTGTCCTATCCACCACGGACGCAGAGTGCAGGTTATTTGATTTCTTCTCCCTACCACCTTTTACATAATTGGAGAGGTTTCCTCAATTCATGCTGATTTTCTTTAGTACAAAATTCTTTCTGTGTTTTAGTGTGTTTGTTTATTCTCCCTTTCCAAATAGCTCTAAACAAATCCAAACCAAAACTAGACCAATCTGTCCTGGCTTGCTGGTTATATACTGCTGGACTGTTTCTTGTAACATCTGGTCAGACATATGCAAGGTTGCGGCTACGCACCATATATCCAATTGAAAGGAGCAGGCATATTTATCAGCTGTGCTTCGTGCATCATTTAATAGCAGAGTAAGTATTTAACAGTTGATGAGGTTGCCTGTTGTTCCCAGGCAGCTTTGTAGTTCAGACCCTTTCAAAAAGGTTAAGGGGAAAAAGGTTGATATCATCCTGCTTGTTTGAAATTCAGTCCTAAGCTGTGCTTGTGCCCTTTACGCCTAGGCTGGTGTGGTCTGAGAAGGAAGCCAAAATTAATCCAGTAGAAAATTACACGTTTCCCCTGACGGTAGTAAGAAAGGGCAGTGCCAGGTGTGTGAAGTCTTTAGCATAAAATGATAGTTTAAAAACCTTTTGCAATTTCTCTGCTAACTAGGATTAAACCTGAATGGTTCGTTAGCACACCAGGCAGATATTGTTCCTGGAGGACCCCATCTCCTGGGCTCCCTGCCCCAGGAGGAATTGCATCTTCACTTAGGGAAGTAGGAACAGAGGAGACCTAAGAGGGACTGAAACAGGTAGGGTATTTTGTAAGATTGTCAGCTAACATAGAGTAATTATTAAAATAGAGTAATGGAGTAAGTAATCCAAACTCTTAGAGTACTTAAAGTACTGTTTGGTGTCTTCGTTTTTTGTGATTCTAACGAGGCTTTTGCCTTTCCCGGGTATGGCCAGGATCCTGCTGCTGGAGGCCTGCTGTCTGGCCCTTCCCAGGCATTGCATGTCAGGCTTGTAGGGCAGGAGGTCACGGCGTATCAGTTTCTCTCCTTATTTTGGTTTCACACTTCCCAAACTATTGCCACATCCACCTTAATCATGGGTGAACTATTTTCTTCCAGCATCTCTGTTTCATTTTTGTTACTGGTTTTTTTTTCTCTCTGACTTCCCCATATTTTGCTGCTACGTTACAGTTGCAAGCTACCGTACATTCTGCCTGTCAACTTATCCAGCCTTTCTAGTACTGCTCTGAAAATACGTTAGAATCGTAGGACCATTCGTGTCGGTCGGGACCTCAAGGAGGGCTGTAGTCCAACCTCCAGCTCAGAGCAGGGGCAGCTTGGCCTCCACCAGGTTGCTCAGTCAGATCTTTGGAAACCTCCAAGGATGGAGGTAGCACAGCCCCTCTGGGCCCCTGCTCCATCGCAGACTGTCCGCATGGGGATAAAATTTTTCCTTATATCCTGGCTGACTCTCGCCTGTCTTTTCTTGTCCTCCTGCCTTGCACCACTGTGATGAGCCTGGCTCCATCTTCTTGCTGGCCTCCCGGTAGGAACAGAGTGGTGACTACCAGATCTCCCTCAGCCTTTTTTCTTCTTCAGCCTGAACAAGCCCTGGTCCCTCAGCCTCTCCTCACAGGGCAAACGCTGCGGTCCCCTGAGCATCTTGGTGGCCCTCAGCTGAGCTCGCTCCTGGTTTTTCTCTCTTCCTTGTATTAGAGGCATCGGAACAGGACACAGAGTCGAGGTGTGGTCTAAGGAGTGCTTAGCCAAGCGGGATAACCGCTTGCCTTGATCTGGTGGCTGTGGCCCTACAGCCCAGGATGCTCTTGGCCTTTGGTGCCAGGGCACAAGTTCAGCTTGTGTCTGCCAGGACCCCCAGGTCCCTTCCGGCCTGTATCGCTGCCCGGGGCTCTTCCTTCCCAGGGGCAGGACTGTGCGTTTGTCCTTGCGAGGTTCCTGCTGGCCTGTTCCTCCAGCCTGGCTCGGTCCCGCTGGTGGCAGCTCTGCCCTCGGGCGTAGCGACTGGTCCTCGCAGATTTGGCGTTACTTGCAAACTTGAGTAAGTGCCCCATTGCCTCCCCAAATAAAAATGTGAACCAGGACCGGTGCCCTGAGGCACCCACTCGTTACCAGCCTCCAGGCAGAGTAAGGAGCGTGACTCTCCAAGCCTGGCCGCTTCACCCGCTGCTTACCCATCTAGTTGTCCACCCGTCCAGACCCTAATGTCCCAGCTCACATACAGTAGGGTGGGACACGATGTTAGATGCCGTGCTGAAGTCAAGGTAAATGGCATCTACAGCTCTTCCCTCATCCACAAATCCTGTCATTTGATCACAGAAGGCAATCAGGCTGGTCAGGCATGATTTACCCATGGTAAATCCATGCTGGCTGCTTCCAGTCATCATTACCTCCTTTGTGTGACCAGAAATGTGCTCCAAGAGGAGGCACTCCATGATTTTCCCAGGGAGGAAAGTGTGGCTGACCAGTCTGTATTTTCTCAGATTGCCTTTTGGGGCCTTTTTGAAGGTGAGTGCAACATTTGCCTTTCTGAGTTGCGGGGAATCTCCCAAGATCTTCATTTCTTTTCAAAGATGGTAGAGAGGGGCCTTGTGAGGACACTGGTGGGCTCCCCCAGGACCCTTGGATTCAACTCGTGTTGTCCCACAGGCTTGTATGGGTAGAGACAACCTTCTTGACTCATCTTCCTTGCCTGTCTTTCCTGAAGGGTTGGTATCTATCCATGCCAGCATCCAGCCATGTGAGCTTTCCTGCCTTAGAGATTGTGAGGGACAGAAAGAAGTTAAGGATCGAACTCATTTCACGTGTGGTCTCCGGAAAGCCGTATTCCTCAGCTTTTGCTATGGCCTTATTCGGCTGATGTAGGGTAGGAACAGTGTGTGTTTATGCAGCCCCCGTTTCGACTGAACACTGGTGACTGTAAAAGCCTTTGAATGTTACTGCAACATGAGTGGGTTTTGTATGTTGTTCATCAGCATCCACGGAGTCCTTTTTTCCCCTCCTGTCCACGTGATAGTCCATAGAAATAGCTCCCAGCTGGGGCTGTGGGATATATAGAGATGGAGAAGTAAATTAAGCATACAAGTGGAGAGAGAACAATATTCTGATAGAAAGCAACACACTGATTCCACAATTTCAGGGATGTATGTAGTCAGAACTGGAACAGCTAGCCTAAGGGAGAGAAGGAAGGGGGAAGGAACCAGGCAGAGAGGAGTAAGAGAGGCGGATAGGGAACAAAGCTGGCACGGACCAGGTGAAGGAATTGATTAGTTCAAGTCATTAATCAGAGCCAGCATTCATTTCGTTTGTGACTTAATCACATGTATTGTGGAGTTTCTCTTTCGAGGTATGGGACTTCGGTACCTTTCCGTACTTGAGTGAGTACCTGTTCTACACATAAACCTAAAGGGAGCAGAGGGAAGGCCAGCTCTTGTTCGTAATTCATCTCGCTTGAGAAGAGGAGGGAAAGGGAGGCAGGGAGAATCTAGGGAAGGAGCTCTTCCCACCGGCAGAAGAAATACTGCTATACAAAAGAGAATGTGGGTGGCAGTGATCTGTAAGGAGAAATCATAGTGGTGAAATCTGTCTAGTTTGGCTAAGGAGTGACTTTGGAGGAGGACATGGAAATATCTCTTGAGTATTCGAAAGAGGAGGAGGAATTACTGAGGGTGGTCTAAAAGAACAAAAGCTACAATAGTAGGTTAAAATTTAGAAAGTACACATAAAGTATGAAGAGATTTTTCCTGACAGTGAACTCTAACGGAAACTAAAGCTGCCTCCAAAAGGAAGTTTTAACAAGATTATTACTCAATTGGATATAGATGGGAAATAAGATGGGACTAACTGGGAAATAGACCCAAACCATCAACGAAATGGCTGCCTGTCCCTTTATTTTGTGACGGTCTGATAGCTACAAAGGGGTCTTCTACTTTCAGCCTGTTGGGAAGTAGGTGCTACAGGAATAAAGGCGTCTCAGTATCCTAGAAGTGCTTGTCCCAGAGCCGCTGGGATTAGGGTATGCACGTTACAGCATCTTCATTTCAGTCCAAACAGATGTCTCATGTAATATTTCTTTGTACATCCCTGTGTTTAAATGTTTCGATTTCCTGTGCAGCTTGGGAAGGAAAGCACTCAGATGGACAGTCAAGCAGCCCTCAGAACTCCACCTCCAGTTCCTCTCCCTCTGTTAAGCTTGATAACTCCTTGCCAGGGTTGGGGAAGAAACCATTCCAGAGATCTGACAGGCTCCATGCAAGTAAGATATTTATTTTTCTGCTTACAGAGATTTGGTTGCTCTGATGACAGAACAAAAGCCTAAATAGCAAAATTGAGTAAAATGTGTAATTAATTCCATTGCTAAAGTGACTTCTGGACAACTCCGCAAGGCACTGCTAGTATGCTGTGTCAGTTAGGAGAAATAATTCAAACCTTACACATGCAAATAAGCCCATTCTCATTTCTTATCATCAGGGGTTTCTACCTGTGAATTTGCAGCTTGCTGTTTGAGAAGCAAGAAAGGAGTTGCATTATTTAGCAGGCTTTTTAATGTGCTTAAGACACTTTGATAACATTACAAAGAAAAAAGAAATTCCTTCCCAGATCTTTATACTTCAGACCCCACTGTTGTTTGGCTTCCTTGCCATTCATCGAGGTTAGGCCGTTCTCAGCCCTCCTGACCTTTTGTGGTTTCTTTTATGTACACCAATGATGGGATTGACCTCGGTGAAGGTATGGATATGCCGAGGTCTCTATCTGTGCTAACCTTCCTAGATGTCCTTTATCACCGGTGAAAGTAGGCACTGTTTCGTTTGTCCCCCGTGATGAGGAAATCCTGCAACTGAAGTAGATGATAAACCTGCAGAGCCATTTTCTGAATGACTTCTAATAGAGCAAACTTCCCCTAATAAAACAAGCCTCCATGGCATTTATTGTGTGAGATACTGTTACCGTAAAAATAGTTGCTGTCACCCCCGAAGTCAGGAGGAGCAGGGTCTGCCTTAGCATTACCCGTTTTGCTAATAATGCACTTCTAATCTAAGCTTCAAAACACATGCTGTTTTGCTGTTAATAGCCAGTGGATGAATCCAAAGGAAAGAGAGTACACGGTACAAATGCTTTCTTCATTGTTCTTCTCTGAATTTGTAGCACGTACGTGGAGCTGGCTGTAGCATAAGGGTTAGTGCTGGACTTGCTGGCTTTCAAACACAGAAAGAGAATAGTTACTCATTTTTACTGCTTTGTCTAGTGTTGTGGCTTCTACGCAAGCACAATGAGCACAATTCTTCCGAAAAGCTTTTGCTGAGAACAAAGTAGGAAAGTCCAAGAAGAAATCCTGAGGAACAAACTGACCTTAACTAGAGGCTTAAAATAGAAAATTGATGTGGCTAAAAGCAGTTCTAGAAACCCTGCTGAAAAAGCCTCCTCACCGGTCCCCAGAGCACCAGGTTTCCTACCAAAGTTAGGTGAACTGAGGCAGGCTACAGTATAGGAGGTATGGAAATTTTCTGTGCTGGAAAGCACCTCCCACATTCTGTTTTTAATTGCATGTGCAAAGGTAAAATGTATTTTTCAAGTCAAGGTTTGAAGTGGATTGCTGAGGTGGCATTTTGAAAATCTCGGGTACGGTGAGCTCCAAAGGAGCCTTTAATCCCCTCAGGTAAGATGTTACTTACATCTCTTGGTTCATTGCAGGGCAGCTGAAGAGAACAAAGTGTGCCGAAATTGATGTGGAAACCCCCGACTCCATCCTCGTGAACACAAACCTGCGGGCGCTGATCAACAAGCACACGTTCTCCGTTCTGCCTACGGAATGCCAGCAGCGCCTGCTGCTGCTGCTGCCGGAGGTGGACAGGCAGGTATGTCGTGCTTGCTGTTGCGGAGAGAAGCCGGCCTCTTAGGCGTCAGTAGGGAGCATCTCCAGAAGTAATTCAGACTAGACAGTCAGATACCCTGTTTATGTCTAATGGGACAGATTTTTTCTTCTGTGCACAGTGTAAAAAAAAAAAAAAATAAATTGGAAAATTCTTCAGTGATTCGTTTGGGTATTTGTTGCTACTAGAAAAAAAGAAATCAGGTGTGGTAAACCAGTGGTTAATTCTGTTTAATCAACTCCATATTCCCAGCTACAGCAGGAGCAGTGTTTCTGTTACGTTGGACTTGAAGAGGGCCAGGAGTGATGGGAAGGCAGCGGTTTCAGCATCTTCCTCTCCCCTGTCCTCTCCCAGACTCTCTGATACAGGATTAACCCTGCAGCCTTTTAGGCTGGTGCCTTCCCACAGCATACCTAAACAGATGCAGCCATTTAGTTCCAGCCTCTTCTGTTTCTCATGACCCTGTGTCACTGCTGTCAAATTCTGAATTTGGTAAAGTGAAAACTGAATGAGTTTTCTGTTGCATAGTCACACTCTCCAGACTGCAGAGTAGACTTGACCTGCTCCAGAGAGCTTGTGTCCTGGCCTGAAACACAGACTAGATTAAAGGTACCAAGCACGCAGTGGGAGGCAGCCTTGAAGGCCATTTATTTTTGTGGATTGTCTGTTTAAAATCTTTGTGTGCGAAGAGAGGAATTTGGAAAAGAAGAAAAATACTCAGTGGGGAGGAATGGGTTCATTTGCTCTGGCAGTGGCACAGAAGAAACCATGAAGGTTTTCACTGAGTTCTTCACTAAACAGTTGGTGAGAACTGGCACAATTAACGTGAGCAACAAGGGGGTAAGAACTCAGCCCTCGGTACTGAAAGAACAGCTAAGAGAGCCTCTTGATAAGACAGTTATTTCAACTCGGCTGGATCTGATGAATCTCATCCGAAGGGGTACATAAAAGAACTGCCTGAAGCAATCTCAACATTATAGTGTTTTCTTCAGCAGCTTGTGGAAGGCAGGGATGATGCTAAGAGACAAGAAAAGAACAAATGTTGCACTTGCATGTAAAAGGAGGAAAAACCAATGAGTTGAGGAAGCGAAGTTCAATCTGTTTACGCTCAATAGCAGAAAAGCTGTAGATGGAACAAGGATGCTTCCTTCCTTTTACCTTGTTCATGTTATGTTTGTCTTCAGCGTTCCTACCCAAGTGGCTGGGAGCTTCAGAGCAAAGTGGGGTTCAGCGCTACACTTCCACTTCAGTTGTAGGGTGTTAATTCAGATGCCTTAACACATGTGCCTCGAGCCATTTTAAATGTTCGTTAGCTATCAAAGCCAGCTTCAAGATGCTGCTCCAGATGGAAATCTTCTCTATGTCCTGTATCAGATCTGCAAGTCCCTTGAAGATACTTTTCTGTGTGGTGTTCGGATTAGTACTAGATGCCTGTGTTTGCACACCTCGGTCACCTCCCAGGAGCCTAGGTCTCGGCTAGTTACTCTGGGCTCCTTTTATAGAAAGCAGAAATGCAGCTGGTGCCGTCAAGAGCCTGTGACCAAATACAGGTGTCTGCTTCAGGACAAGATGAACCGAGCCCCCACCTCCATACACTCCATTGACTCGATCACTGTAAACTGTGAAGGGGCACCAGACGTAGGCGCTTAGGGCACAGGCATCCGTGTTAGTGAAGGTATCTCCGTCTTCGCAGCTGGGCTGCTTTTTGGTTCTCACAGAGCGTTAAAAATGCGTATGGGTCTGGCAGCTGCCCTGCGGTCTGCTTTACAGAGGATGCTTTGCTGAACAGATAGCGTTCGTTTGGAGTTAGGAGGAGTTCTAACATTTTGCGTTGTCTCATAAATTCTAATCTTCAATCAGCATTCATCGGGGACTTGTTAGTCCAAGGCTGAGCCAATAAATACTTGAAGGAATGGTTTTATAAGTCCTGTGGCCTTTGTAATAATTAGGTATGTGTCAAAATATGATGTGATGGAGTTTGCAGCTGGGGTTTACTGGCAAGAACCTCACAGCAGATGGTAAGGCATTTCTGCCCTGACTTTTAAGTTTAATTGTCCTTAAATTGAATTAGAATTTGACTGAGAACAAATTTTGACTAACTAAATAATATTGCTTGGCTCCTGAGAGGACAAATTTTACATTTCACTGTAGTGAATCTCCTAGAGCAGCCCACCACATCAAGTGGTGATGCGTGCTTTATAAAATGTCAGGCTTTGCTGTAGTAAACAGGAGAAGAGGTGAAGGCGTTGGACATGCCAGTTGTGAAAGGTCAGATATCTGTTGTGTTGTGCTTGGCGGTGACTCAGCCTGAGCTATCACAGCTGGTGCTTCTGTAGGAGAGAAAGCGGGCACTTGGAGGCACGGCCCAGGCAGCCCGGCGGCACTTGTCTGCCCTCCAACGCGAGGAGCAGGCAACACCGTATGTGCGGTAGAGGACAGCCTTGTGAATTCTGCTCCCTGGAGTCGATCAGTAGAGATTTGGACTAGAAAATAAATCTCTGCTTTTGTAATCCCTATAATGGCTGCTCCTAACTTAATTATCTCTAACTAAATCTTACCTACAAAACCTTCTGTTAGGTCACTTCCATCATTTTAATGACCTGCATCACAAATCCTGCCTCAGGAAAAGCAGTGTTTCTCTTTATCAGCTCCTGCACTGTTGGACATTTGCTGCGCAGATCTCCCAGTGTCATCAGCCGTATCCTGCATCAGCTGGATTTTGCTTGTTTGTTCTGGTTTATTATTTATGTGAGAAATGGAAGCACATCAGTCATCAGCCTTGCCCACTGCAAGTTTTTGCGACTTACCGAATGATACGTGTATTTCTGTGTTTCTGGTAGAGAAATTCCACGTTTACTCCTGTGGGATAAAGAGCAAAAGCAAACCTCATACATGTTGTATTACCCGGTTATAATTTCCCCCCATGCTACGTTCCAGTCTTAGCCTCATGCATCCTCATTTATGTCCTACTCTAGAGCATGACTGCCCTGTTTGGTTAATGATATTTCAAAGACAGAGTGGGTTTTGAGCTTCATTTGTCCCTGGTTTTGCTGAAGCATCAATGGTTATGATTATATACCTGTCAGAGTTTTACATGATACCCTTTATGTCCTTGCTTTTCCTTCGTGCACTTCATTATGTTCACCGGAAGACAGCAGAGCTGTTGCTCTGGATGGTAGTTCAGGCGATATCGTGCATTCGTTTTGCAGGGCAAAAGGCACCTGAAGCAGCTTTTCGGAGGCTATGCTGTTCTGTCTCCATGTGCTTCTCCTTCCCACCTGTACCATCTGCTGCTCACGTGTGTTTGTGCAGCAGCAGGACTGTAGAGGATTGGGCTAAACCAAGGGCGAGGAAAATTGACCACAGCCTCCTAGATCCCAGACCTGGCTAAGCACAGCCTTAAGAAGACTGTTTATTTTCTTCTGAGTGAGTTAAAGGCAGATTGCGGAGAGATTTGTGGCACTGCTGGGACTCCGGCTCTCTGTTCAGATCCCGTGTGACAACATGTGACATTTGTCCTTCCAGCTCGTTCATGCTATTTGCTTTGTCGTGTATTCCAGGTTGGGGCGGACGGTTTGATGAAGCTGAGTGGCTCTGCGCTCAACAACGAGTTCTTCACTTCAGCTGCCCAAGGCTGGAAGGAGAGGCTGTCAGAAGGTAAAACTTCCCCAGGCTGCGAAGCAAAACGCTAGCAGGCTTTCAGCTAGCGAATGTCTTGGGGAATGTGTAAGAGAGATTTTATGGAGAAGTTGAAGCACTGGAGTGACTCACGAGGTGAAGTCAGCTGCAGTCAATACAGCCCGTGAGAGCAAACGCAGGCCTAGAACTATGTAATGTCAAGGTCATAGAGGGGGCTGCAGTAAGGAGTTCTCTCTTGAACTTAACATGTGGAACAATGAGCAAGTCTGTGGAAGAGATGAGAAAAGAAGGAAAAATGTGTTTAAAATCTTGTTCAAATGACAGTAGAGCTGTGATATTCTCAAGTCGCGGTAGCTAAATATAGCCCACTGCTAAGCGCAGTAGAGAAGGTGAATTATGCTCCCAGAGTAATGCACTTTGTCGTCAGCGAAGCCGTCCAGCCACAGCTGGTGTGGTCAGTCCTTTGAGCCATAATTTTTTATATAGCGTAAAGTCAGCCATTTCCTAATCTGTAGGACTCCTGCGCCTCCAACAGTCATTTGCACTTAGAGGTGCTTAATTCCATGATTCGATCAAATCACATCATCAGAAGTGCGCTCGCTCATTGCGGGCAGGGACCATTTCCTCTGCGGAACTGAACCGTGCAGCCCGTCACTGGAGTTTTTATAAAGACTATAGCACCAGTCGTGACTCGCTTTAAGAAGACGGGAATATCATTTACTCATGCCCAGATGATTGACTCTTAAGAGACTTTTCCATAGAAAACGGAATTCCCATTCTGTGTGAATAACCCTTTATATTTGGTAGATGCTGGGTGTATCTATGCCAGTAAACAGGAAGGTATAGAACTCAGCTGTCTAATCTGTTTAATTGTTAAAACCACCCCCAGTTTTAGCCACCATCATTTAGTGTTTTCCCTTTAATGCTTCTTAGAAGACCTTTTGTCCGTTCCCTCTACACATCTAGAGGGTGCAGCTGCGTTTACACAAAGACTTTCTCACCAGAGTAAAACTGCTGCAGAACCTGCTGCGGTGGTAAAGCGTGCAGCGGTGAGGGTGAAGTCTGGAGATGGCCACTGACGTTCTCACTGAGCACTCTGTCTCTGCTCAAGCTTAAAGCATGATGCCACCATGGGCAGAGCAGTCCTGTAGGCTTTCTTCAGCTACTCTTCAGGGTACTGGCGATTCATAACGATGCTGTTTGGGGTCACCCACAGTAGTATTGAACGTATGCAGGCCTGCTCATGCTCAGCGTCAGCATTGGGAGCAAGCCCTCTTGGAGTACGTCTCTGGGCATGTGAAGAAGGTGGCGATTGGAAACCGTCAGCATGGTTTTACCAAGGGTAGATCATGCCTGAACAGCTTGACTGCATTAAAAATGACGGAATTTGTGAACAAAGGGAGAGCAGTGGGTGTCATTTACCTCAACCTAAGCAAAGCTTTTGATAACCGTCTCCTCCAGTACTCCTGTATCCAAGCTGGGATGCTAGGGTCTAGGTGGGTGGACAACCAGATGGGTGAATAGCTGGTTAGACCAAGCTTGACCAGCTTGGAGTCACGGTTCGCGGCTGGAGGCTGGTGACAAGTGGAGACCACAGGGGCCTGTCCGGGCCCCTGTCGTATTTACCTTCTTTATCAGTGACCCTGGGGGAGTTGGTGGAGGACACCAAACTGGGCACACCAGTCAATACGCTCGAGACAGGGCTGCCATCCAGCGGGACCGAGGATCCTGCCCCTGGGAAGGAAGAGCCCCCGGCAGCGATACGGGCTGGGGAGGGGTGACCTGATAGCAGCCCCCTTGTCCCTACGGGAGGCCATCGGGAACATGGAGCCAGGCTTGTCCCAGTGGTGTGTGGCAGGAGGATGACAGAAAACAGGCCCGAGTCAGATGGGACAGAAGGAGAAGCTTTTTCCCCGTGAGGACAGCCCAGCAGTGGAGCAGCGGCCCAGGGAGGTTCTGCCTGCTCCGTCCTTGGAGGTTTTCAAGACCCGACTGGCCAGAGCATGATTCTAAGTTGAATGGTATAAGGAAAAACAGGACATAAGGAAAAGCTTTTTCCCCGTGAGGACAGCCCAGCAGTGGAGCAGCGGCCCAGGGAGGTTCTGCCTGCTCCGTCCTTGGAGGTTTTCAAGACCCGACTGGCCAGAGCCCTGAGTGAGCTGGTGGAGGCCAAGCTGCCCCTGCTCTGAGCTGGAGGTTGGACTGGAGACCTCCCGAGGTCCCCATCAACCTTCAGGTAGACGTTGATAAGTAAATTACTTCCACTTGACTGCAAGCTACCCCGTAGGTTTTCACCGTGCTTTGCATTCGGTATGCTTTTAGTCGCAATCTCCCAACTGGGAGCCGCAGGTGGCATAACCACAGCAATGCAAGTCCAAGAATTCCCTGCTGCAACAGAGACCATCTCAAATGAATGAATTTTGTACCCTGTTGCTAAACTACTCTAATTAAAGGCAGGCGCTCCACTGTTTTCGATGCAACAGACTTTCTATATTTATTTACCTGACGAAGTTTATACAAAAATAGAACAGAAAGCTGGTGTACCAGAGATTCTGTTTTGGGCCCTCTGTACTTGCCGCATTAAAAAGATGACTGTCCTGATTTAATACTGACGAGGAACAGTGTACCAAAAAGGGACACGTTCTTTGCTTCCTTTGGACATATTTTGGTAACTGCATGGAGAACAAACTCAGCAAGAATTTCTTACCATCCCCTTATTTGACGGGAGAAAATTGTTGAGAAACAAACTGTGCAGTCATGGAAGTACCCAATTTCTGTTAATCTCTTTAAGGAATCCCCTCTCTTTGGTAACTGCAGCATTGGAAAAGATCCGGTTCTAGTAACTCCCTCCTGCAGTGCTAAAGAGCACAAACAAAATGGTGTGTGAACTAGATAAACCTTGAGAATGAATGAAGCCAGGAAGCTCAAGGCCACGTGTCTGTCATCAGAGCACTGCAGTTGTGTCAAAAACCCAAGCTTTCTTGTTGTCTAATGATGAACTCTTAAAATATTAACATACGGTCTTGCAAACCTTCATGGTTCAAAGCTGTGTTGGGGAGGGTTCAGGCTTGACATTAGGAAACATCTCTTACAAACCGCAGTGCCTGCATGTGTGAAACCTGCGCTTCAGATGTGTGAGAGGGGTTTTTTTGTTTCCCACCTGCCTGCGACAGAGTAGCATCCGTTGCCAGAAATGTTTTATGTCATTTGTGCTGGGCAAGAAGTCTCTGATGTTCTTGCGTGCGCATTTCACCACAGCCATCCACGGCTGGCGTTTCGAGGTGCCATATTGCTTTGCCATCTGCACAGGCCGTATCTTCAGATCCTTCAGAAAATGGCAGTTACGTAGTGCCTGCGTACATACAACATACGTTTGTCTATAGATTTGCAATCATTTAACGAGCGCTATTTCACATAAAGCATCTGTTGGCAGCCAGAGTGGACACGGGCAGGGGCAGGGGTTGTGACTTGGGCACGAAGCTGTTGCCCAGCCCCTGCGAGGAGCAGGCAGCAGCAATGCTCTGCAGCTCGGGAGAAATGCTGCAGTACCACGGGCAGGGCTGCGGTGTCGCAGCAGCGAAGGGGACTTCTGTGCGATAGCACTCGCGCCTGCACGCGTGAAGGCTCCTGTGGTTCCCCTGATTCCTTTTATCCATAGCTTTTCTTTTAAGAGATCCTTTATTGCGTTTTGCAGGTGAGTTTACACCAGAAATGCAGCTAAGAATACGGCAAGAAATAGAAAAGGAAAAGAAGGTCGAGCTGTGGAAGGAGCATTTTTTTGAGAGCTACTATGGTCAGAGGTAAGACATTCAGCTGGCTTTTTGAGTCCTGCGTTGCCCGTGCAGACATACCTGCGTGCTGTCCATCAATAAACATTACTTTTCGTTAGTGCTGAAAGCTGAGAAAGGTCTCTAGCTTCAGCTGGCTGCCACAGAACTGAGAAAATGCTTTCTAATGCTTTAACCAGGGTAGTACTGCTTTCCTTAGGCGAGGATGTCCTCTAGACTTTACATCTTAACTTTTCCTGCTCCTTACTACGGTACTTGGAGACGCTCTGCTCTTACGGTTCTCCTAGTGCCAGGATCCTGGAGATCCCCGGGGGCGTGGTGGCTGAGCAAACTCTGCCTTGCAGTCGGTCACCCATACGTGACACCCGGTGTACTTCCCCACAGCTTCAGTCAGACACCTATTTGCTTAAACTCCCAAGTCTGCAAGTCTTTTCTGCTGTGTTTCTTTTCGCTTCAAGATTTTCCCCTCCTTTTGGGCTATGGAGAGGATTTTGGGTTTCTGTGTGAATAACTGTACTGAGAAACTCGAAAATGAACAGATGCATGTAAATAACTAATCAGGAATTTTGTATCCTGCATCTTGACAGTTAGCTTTTATGCTTGTCCACAGTAGCAAGACTTCGGTTCCCTGTAGCTCCTAAGAACTTGGCTGGGTGAAATCAGTCCCATGGGTTCATCAGGCTGGCTTCATCAGACTTTATGGGTTCATGCCTGGGCAGAAAACCCAAGTTTGATATTTTGTTACGAGGGAGGGATGAAGTTAATCCCAAATCAGACGTCACTCTGGGAATTAGATTCCCAGCTTGTTCATTTCTTTCACAAATAAAGATGGATGAATAACACAGGGAAATACTCCCAGCTTTTTGATGAAGGAGAAATGTCGGTCCTAAGCTCAGGGTACCTCAGCGGTTCTGGCACCAGCCGCGTTCCTCTGGAACAAACGGTGGGACGCTTTTCAGTGTCCCTTTCCGCAAACGTCACCATATGAGCCTAAGTCAGGTGCAGGCTGCGTGGGGCTGGGCGCACGCTGCCGAGATGTGCCCGTGGTGGCTAATAACGGGAATGTTTACTGGTGGCCAAATTTATTTGATTTGCAGCCTGGAAAATTGGTGTCTGGGCAGAGGACTAGATCTAACCTGCATTCCAGGTATTTCATTTAGTTGGTTTTACACTTCGCTATTAAGTTCTGTTTCATGTGGAAGTACTGACAGTACAGAAGGTTTTCAAAGATCATGGCGTAGAATTCGGTGCATGAGACGTATTTATTTAGGGTGTGGTACGTAGAGAATCCTCTCTCAGTTCTCGTAAGGATAGCATGCTTTTTGCAAGAATGGTCTACAAAATAAAAATTCTGTTTTTGTTGATAGTTCCGGATTAAGTCCTGAAGAGTCCAAGAGACTGACGACAAACACCAGCCCTGCCGAGACAGAGACTGAAAATCCAGCAGCTGAACAGCCCAAATGCACGCCGGCCTCTCTGGCACCGCTCAAAGAGGAGCGTACTTCTCCGTTAGAGTCTAAAGCACAAGCAGTCCAGGAAGCACCAGCGATGAAAAAAGGAGGAGAGGAAAGAAGAGAGGAGATGCAGCCAAAACCAGCCAAACCCACAGAGGCTTCAGTTTCCCCGGGCGGGTGTGCAGTGAAACCTAGCGACCATTCTCTCCGTGTGAAAGAGAGAGGCCAAGGAGAATCCATTCAAGAGAAACCACAAGCTGCCGTTAGTCAAAAGGCAGAAGAAGAGAGAAAGCACGCTGCATCAAAGGAAGCCCTAGCGAAGGAGACTGTCGGTACCTCAGTTTTGGCCCTGAGTAAACCAAAGAGCCCCGAGGCAGGTGAAGCGGTAGCAAACGTGAGAGCTCCAGTGATGACTCCAGAAACACCAGAAAAGAAGTCCCCTGTAAATGAAGAAATGGAAGTCAGCGTCGAAGCCCCTAAGAGGAAGTCAGAGAATCGCGAAGAAGCTCTAACCACTCCGGAAAAAAAGCCACGCATCATGGAGAACTGTCAGCACCACCAGGCGTTTCGGACCCAGCCGCAGTCCTTTCCTGCAGCGGGGACCCCGGTGCCACGGGTGCCCCCACTCAAGGTAAAGAGAAAGGAAGACAGATCCACAGAGTGGCCTCACGTGGGTCAGCGCAGCTGGTGGCTCTCACAGAAATGCTTCCTCAGTTCTAGTTATGTACGTAAATTATGGTACCTGCTTGTTTTAGTGATGGAAATACTTGGCACAAAAACGTAAAAGCTCAGCTGTTGGCTAAAGGGAAGCTGCCGGCTGGCTAATCAAGGTCACTGCTGTTAGGTATCTCTCGTACACACGCATCTGTCAAAAGATCTCTTGGGCAGAAGCTCAAACGGTTGTGTGAGAGCCCCAGACTGAGTGTAACAGGGAGTGCTGTAGGTCACGGTGGAAACTGGGGAGAGCTGCGGAGGAACTGCGAGACTGTAGTAACAAAGCAAGGTGTAGCCCAGGAGCGCACAGAACTTTGCAGACGTGTGCGCATCCCCAGCAGTACAGTAACAGGTCCAGAAAGAATGCTATCAGCAGCTTCCTCTATTATGTCAAGTCCAGAAATGAAATCATTTACCTGTGTGTAAAAAAAAAAAGACTGTCTAGGAATAACGCAGTTCTCCTCTACACCAGCTGAATGCAGTGTAGCGCCAGATGAGGTCGCAGGGAAAGACTTTTTCAGGGAACATCTCAATTCCAAAAGCCCTTTAGCTGCTGAGTCTTAGCGAGAACCTCCACAGGAGAGGAAAGAGGCAATAAATCACCACTAGGAGAGGGCAGGTGGAAAGGAAGCACCAAGGAAGGTCCCAGACTTTGGCCTGGCCGGTGCGGTTCTCTCGCACGTGAGATCCAGGTCGCGGGACCGCACGCTACCGCTGAACTGCCGGGAGATGCTGCGCCGGTAAGTCATAAACGCTCTCCCGTCAGGCGTTTGATGCGCTTTCCGAAAACGATTGCAAGGTTGCACATCTACAGATAACGCTGATTCTCTCTTCAGCGATGCTGTGCCCAACAGCAGGCAGGGAGCGGGTGAACCAGCACAGAAGCATTGTTCACAGACACCTGTGACTGTATGAGGAGCATCTTGGCTTCTGTAGACGAGGGCCTGTGCTTTTTCTACCAGAATTTGCTCTGGTTAAAGTTCAGCTCCCTGGTTTGGGGCCTCAGGCAGACGTTGTGAATGGACAACTGCTTAATTACTGTATTTCTGTGTGTCCTAAGAATTCTCCTCTCCTGTTAAGATTATTTTATACTAGGAAGTATACAAACGCAAAATTTTAAAAACGGTTCGTTATTCTCACTGTGTTAATAAGTACGGCACGAAGGTAGGAAAGCATTAATAAAGTTTGTTAGTGACACAGAATTGGGGGAAAACTGTCAATAAAAGAGATTTGAAATATCATACAGGAAGGACGGTTGACCTTGCAGTGTGATAAATGTGGGATTTAATTTAATAGTAGAGTGAATTTAAGGGCGATTGAAAATAGTTTCCCCGTAAGGTAGAAGATATGTCACCTCAGAAAAGAAAGAAGCGGTGAACTGGTTCCTCAGAAGATGAGCGGGAGGCAGCGAGGTATTGCAGATACGTGAAAACAAACGTAACCGTAAAACATACTCGCTTAAATCTTTGCAGTGGAGAGCGAAGAGCGCTAACGGTCGTGCGCCGTTGTCATCACTCACGTTCTAGAGAGAACAAACTTAGGGAAAGTAAACTGGAATGATGAGGGGAGCAGAGAGCCTGTTTGAGGAGAAAGGACTGAAATATTGGCCTTTATCTACAGATACGCAGTAGAGAGATTCTTACTACTTTGTATAAAGACACTGAGGAGACAAGTGTAAATACGCAGGGGTAGAAGAGCAATGCAGAATCAAGCAGAACGGTGGCACAAACCTTTAAAAGGCTATAAATGACACACGAATGAAGTATGAAACTTAGACTAAGGGGTGGCAGGTGCTGAGTTCTGGAAGAACCTTACCGTTTTTTCTGAGGGAGCTCGGTAGGCTTTGGGGCGATGGCGTACGATGCCCTAGCCTGCAGCGGCCGGGGATGAGCTCCCCGTCTGAGTCACGAGGATTGGAACAGACCTACAGTAGGTGGGCCAGGCATCAAGGGATCACACGCGTCGTCTGGTATTTCTCTCAAGTGAGGGAGAGGAGGGATTTCTCCAAAGCTACAACTATTTCTCTAAGACTACAACCCTTGAATTCTTAAATATGTGGGCTAAGTGTTCCCCCTATCTCAGCTGTGCTTTTCTCCTCCTCTGTTGCAGATCCCTGTGTCCAGAATCTCCCCGATGCCATTTCCTGCGAGCCAGGTCTCTCCCAGGGCACGTTTCCCACTCTCACTCACCAGTCCAGGAAGAACAGGGGCCAGAACTTTGGCAGACATCAAGGCAAAAGCCCAGCAAGGCAAACAGGGCCTGGACCGGGCGGCGGCGGGGGCCCACCAGGCGGCGGAGGAGAGAAGAGTAACGCAGCAACGAGCGGAACCACCGAAACTGGAATTCGAGGAAACGCACTGGAACTGGCAGGAACTGGAAGCAGGGGAGGTTCGAGAAGGTTTCTTCCCCATTGTCCAGGGACCCACACCCAAATGGAGGCCCAGGCCGCGGACCAGGCACCACCTCGCAGTCCTTCTAGAGCACAACTACAGCAAACTTCCACACTGCAATCCAGAGCCCCAGCCAGCAATACAGGCACCAGCTCCTCCTCCTCCACGGTAGCGGCATTAGAGAAAATCAACAGAATAAAGCAGAGCCCCCCCGGTATGACTGTAAATCAGGTTTCAGGCTCCCCGTACGCTGGCAGCAGTGACAAACAAGAGAAAGCACCTTCTGCTCCGGCAGGTCCGAGCCAGGCCTGCGGGGCGTCAGCTGTCAGGGATGGAGCAGTCCGCGTCACGCCATCCGCAGCAGATGCCAACACAAATGTAACTAAGGTAGCACCTACCGCCTTAGGAGGGACCAGCTTAGATGTTTCTAAAAGCAAATCTCCTTCCCCTCCGACGTCTTCACTCGCATCCCCCAGCTCGGAAGCCCAGGCTGGGGGTGCGGTCGCGCCCTCTAACACTTCCTCCGTAGCGCCTAGCCTTAAAACTCATGCAAGTTCGAGCTCAAGCGGGGCCCTCCCAAAGCCAAGCTCCAGTATTCCTGCTAACAACCCTTTGGTCACCCAGCTTCTTCAAGGCAAGAACGTCCCTCTGGAGCAAATCCTGCCGAAGCCTCTCACCAAAGCAGAGATGAAAACTGTCCCGTTAGCTGCTCACGAAGCAAAAGGGGCAGCAGCGGCAGGAGCCGGGGCTACAAAGGTAGCAAGGGACGGGCCCGGGGGCGGGGGGGGGGGGAAGGGGAACGGCTCTGGAGCCGAGGGTGGTGAAAGACAATCGAGTTTACCCACACAACAGCTTGGGAAGATCTTTTGCCAGAACAGGCCTCTGCCTCACATTCCAAGGTCCTTTCCGCTCCCCTCGGGAAAGGACCCCAGTCTTGACCAGCACCAGTGCCACGAGGCGCTCAGCAAAACGACGCAAGAGCAGATCCTGCAGACTCTTATCAAGAGGGTCCAGAGGCAGAATTTGTTGCCAGTCCTTCAGCCTTCGCAACTGAACCTCACTCACTCAGGTTTCCAGTTAGAAAACAGCTCCACCAGCCAGAGATTTATGCTGGGTTTCATGGGCAGAAGGACGTCCAAGCCTGCTATGTCTGGTCATTACCTGCTCAACATCTCCACCTATGGTCGTGGTTCAGAGAGTTTGAGGAGAGGCTTCTCCTTGAACCCTGAAAACCGCTTGTGTCTGAACAGTCCTGCTGATGCTCCAAAATCAGAATTCGGGGAATGCGAGGAGATGGCTGGCCACGGCAGCAGCAGCGATGAAGGAGATGCAGATGATGAGAGTACTGGTGATGAACGTGAACATATCAGTGTAAAAGAGGAGCCCCAGGCTGCCCAGGTTTCTGGTCAGTGTGGAAAAGAACAGGCATCACACGGCATAAATTCATCGGATTACAGCACCCTTGCTAAAAAGGGTGTGAAGACAGAAGCAGCCACGTCTCAGCAAGCAGCAGTCAACAAGGAGAACGTTCAGGCATTTGACGGAACTACGCTCGCGCGAGATTTTATTCAGGCCGCGCAAGAGCAAATGGCACATGCGATGAGGGGGAAAATGCACGGCAATCCGGAGCTCTTCAGTACTTCTGTACCGTCCTTGGACTCTGCGCAGCAGCAGCCTCCGCTGCTTTCTCCTTCGCACCCTCCAAAGCTACCTGGAAATGCTGCAGCACAGCTCATTGGGCCCAGTTACAGCGGCACAATTAACGTCTCCACCTCCCCGGACGTGAACCAAGGGTCTCTTATGAGCGGGCTGTCTGAATGCAATCAGCTGTCCAGCAGCATGGGGAACGTCATGTCCTTTTCTGTGACTGTAACCACCATCCCCACCAGCCAGGCTATGAACTCTGGCAGCCACACGCAGCCCATCCCCGTGCAAGCGTTCGCTGAAGACAGCAGCATGGAGGATTCCCCTTCCAAATGTTACTGCAGGTTGAAAGCCATGATCATGTGCAAGGGCTGCGGCGCCTTCTGCCATGATGACTGCATCGGCCCCTCTAAGCTCTGTGTCTCCTGCCTCGTCGTGCGGTAACCGGGACGGGAGGTGGGGAAGAGGATGGCTTGGTTTTGGTTTTGCTTTCGGAAGTACGTTGGGAAGAAACAGGAAATTTACTGCCTTGCACAAGAGACGCATTACTGAATCAGGAATACAGAGTAGAGTTCTTCTTTCATTAAAGAAAGAGCACCTTCTTGTACAGTGAGTCCTAACTGAGCTCAACTACGTGAATTGTGACAAGAGTTTGCACTTAAGGAATTATGTAAATATGTCACATTATTTTGTTTAAAAATATTTTTTCAATCTTTTAGGAGATAGTGTTTGACTTGTACTGCAGTTTCATTAACCCCAGCCTGCTATCCAGCATGTTTGCTGAGCTCTGCTCTAGACGGGGGAACGAGCCCCCGGCAAAACCTAAGCCTGTCGGTCTTCTCTGGACAAAGAGGAGAACTGGATAATCACGAAACTAACCGTTCGTACGGCTGATCACGGAGCACCGAAGCGGGAGCCCCTGGCTGGGCTCGCTTCGTGGCTTTAAATTTTTGTTCCATTTTTTTCGGAATTGGAAGGCGTTAACGTTGTACCGGCCTTTCAAGCCATTGCCTTTCACTCGTGACCTGGCTGTTCCCAGAAGGCATACTGGGTTGTGCAATATTGGCTGGTGTTTTTGATTTGCATATCCTCTCCTCTTCAAGGAGTCAGTTGCGGTAACCTTGTTTTAAGGAAAGTAGTGTCTCGATTTGCTACTGGTAAATACTGAAAAAGGCAACTGTACTAACCATAGGATTCAAGAAGTTAAATCACTAAAACAACTCAGTAACTGTGATTATCCGTAACCCCAGGAACCGTTTAAAGCAGAGATCACAAGTTTGTGCTGAACTGCCTTTCCTTCCGGACTGTCAGGACTCGGCAGAAACCTGCTTTGCGTTAGGCATCTTGAGCGAGCCGGAAGGCGCCATCCCCCAGCCGCGAACCATCGGCCGTGACGGCACCTGATGCAAGCGGAGTGCACTAAGCGTCACCCTCGGTCCTGCTGTTTTCTAGGAAGCTTACTGTGCTCATTCAAACCTCCGCGATAGTCAGACTTCTCTAATTTCTATAGAAGTTTTATATTTAGCTAAGTATAGGGAAAGGAAAACGCGTGTCTCGCTGGCCCTCCCCGTTAGCCCGCTGCGGGTGTCTCTTTCTGTTTTAAAATACCAAATCAGGCTTGACTTCGCTTGGATTTTGCCCAGTTGAGGTCCGGGGTTGCGTTGGGGCTGGGGAAGGCTGGCGGGGGCCGGGGAAGGGGGTGGCACCGCAGCCCTCGCGCCTGGCCGTGGGACACAGCTGGTGCCGCTCATCCTCGCTTTCGGTGTTCACGAATCCAATATTCACTTTTGATTAATGGAAATTAAAGCAGTTACGAAATGGTACTCTGCTCTCAACGAGGCGAATTGACGACAGGCTGGCTAACGAAGCACACGCCAATCTGCATTTTGATGTATCGCAACATGTCCGCATCGCATCGAAGATCTGTATGTTATTCCGAAACAAAGCACGTCGGGTTCGCTCATCGCGTCCAGTCCCGTGTCGTCGCTGTTCGGGGCGGGTGGGGGGCCATTCTGCATCGTGGTCAGGTAACAGATCTATGTATCTTTTTGACGGGAAAGCACTGAATTCACTTTTAATCCAAAGGCCTTTTTAAGATGAAGCAATACTAACAAAACAGGTGGGACAGCTGGTTTGGGAGCTGGGGTCCTCGGCCTTTCTTTCTTCTCTCCATTTGCCTCTACTGCTGCTCTCCCCTTGCGCCTCTCCCTCGCCGGGGAACCTGGCACGCTGTTGGTGAAGATCAGAAATAACTGCCCGTGAAGCAGTGTGTTTCTCCAAGGAGCGGGTGGCGATTTCTTTGGTCATGATAAAGAAAAGAGAGTTGCAGACTTAACCACGTCGTAACAGCAACATTTCCTTCCCTGCCGGGCAGAGCGGGGCGTCCTCCGAGGCAGGGTTAGTGCGCGGGAGCTGGCAAGAGCTGCAGCGTGTCTTGGTCTCCAATTTGCTCATCTTAAATTTATCAGGGAGCAGTGACCCCCACTTTCTAATTACGCATCGCTGCTTAGACGTCCAGCGGCAAAGAGGATTTAGGGGTTAGAAATAAAGTCCATTTTTTAAATCTAAAACTGAAATCTCAAAAAAATTACACAAAATTACTCTTGTGCGCATACTGCACGCGCGTTGGCGGTGGTTGTAGCCCGAGAAACGCCCGGTGGCGCGTGCGTGGTCCCGCTGCCACCCGCCTGCGCGCACGGGCGGAGGAGCAGGCCAGCAAGCGTGGGTTGGCTTCTCCCAGTACCTCCCCAGACGCCGTAATGGGGATAATCCCGTTCCCTGGGCTGCCTTGCGCGGCGGCACCGGTCCGGGCAGTAGCCCATCACTGCCTGCTTCCACCTCTTGTTCGGCAAGAGGAATTTCTGCTGGTTTTTTAATCTCGGGACGCGGCGTAAAATGGTTTCAAGCCGTGTGCCCTGGGGAGTTGAGTACCGAGAGCAGGGTCTGTCTGTTCCTTAGTAACTCGGGCCTTGTCTAGACACGAAAGAAGTCACGGCAGTGTAGTCCTCAGACAGACACACTCATTCCTGTCTAAGACGCGGCTCCCAGTATAATCCAATTTAAAAATTGTTGCTAGTTCCAAACTAAACTGAAAAAGTCATTCTTGGCTCAAATCGGAGCAAAGGGGTTTTGCTGGCGTAATTGGATCAGTTCTGTTCGCACCTTGACTTTGAGCGGTGCGGTTCTCTAGGCTGACAAGGCTGCTTAAGACGGGGAAGGAGATGATGGGGGAGCAGCGGGCTGCGACCCGCCGGCTTGCTCTTGGCGCTCCCAGGCTTTTCGGCCTGGGGCAGCTGTAGCTTGGAAAGGCTGCTTCGTGCTCCCCTCGGCATTTTCTGGAACGGCCACCGACCCCGGCCGTGCTTCCAGCTTGTTCCTCCCCCTGAACTTCACGAGCGTCCTCTCTCATGCGCGGGTTCGGTTTGCTGTGCCACGTTCGCCTCTTGCGAGCCCGCTCTGGGGGCACGGGGCGGCCGCTTCCCGAGCAGCCCTGCAGGAGGGAGACGAGCCGGGATTGACCGAGCCGGGATGTGCGGGGACCACGAGGTCTCCGTGGCTCCAGGCTTGTATTGGACGGCGTAGGCATCTTGTGTGGTGGCTTGGAAGTTTACAACTCTGTTCAGTGCCTTAGTTCTATTTTAACAGATCAGCACTTTTCTTGGCTACTTTTTATTCTATTTCTTTTTAAGAAAATAAATTCTTTTAACTGCATGTCTTTGATTTTAACATATGCTACGAGCTACTAGGTGCAACTTGATGGAGCAATCTCCACAGGTTTGCAAGAGGGCATTAAGTAGTTAGGAAATCATTAGAAATAACGGCGCTGGGCGTGCTAATCGCTGTAGGTACAGGTCGACATAAAACCTTGAACGCTTTGCATGTTTTACGGTGCTGGCTGTTGCGCAGTGTGTTTTAGAAGGGGGAAACCCTGCAGCCTGTGCAGGAGCGTTCCCTGCGCGGGCTCAGCCTCCCCCGGCCGCCTCCGCTCCTCCCATCGCCTGGCCTTCCCGCTGTTCCTGCCAGCAAGATAATAAACCTGCCTTCACGCTGGATCTCCGGATAAAAGGGATGTCGTGACATAGTTTAAAGCATTAGACTTTGGTTCCCCGGGTATTAAATTAATAGCGCTGTAGTAAATGCTGTCATCAAAAAATTGAGATAAAATGTTTTCAAAGCCTGATGCCAACCTATGTTTGTGGCAGTAAAAGCAACTCGAGTAAGAAAAGATACTCGGATTTAAATTCTCCCTCTCGGTCCTGCAGCGTGAGACCTAGAAATGCAGACTGATGAAGAGTTTAACTTGCCAGCGCAAGAACCCCCGTACAAGCTGTTGCAGTGGTGGCGCACAGGCAGCTACGAACGAGGTCGGGTTTTGAGACAGATGGGTGGCAGAGGGAGGGAATTTTGTGTGAAATGTTAATGTCCCTTCTTAAATCAAAAGGAAAGACCGAGACGCTTAGCGGTTACGCTGGTCAGCGGAGTCGCGTCTTCTTTATGGTAGTAAGAGCTGATGGGGCAGCAAGTTCCCGGTCAAGTCGTTACCAGCCAGGAGGGATCCTCGGGTCGTTACCTCTGACCGGTGCCGTTCGCGCTGCGACAGAGGCGGCAAAGGCCGTCCCGGGGCCGGCTCCTGCCTGGCGCGCGCGCGGCGGGGGTGTCGTAGTTGGCGCGGGACTCGGGCGTCTCTCCTGCGGGCGGGCTCGGTCTGATGGCTCGCTTGAACCGGTGGGCGCTGGGGGCCAGCAGCAGGGTGAGCACCGGCCCTGCCCGGGCGTCCTCTGCCTCCTCTGGAGGCGGTCGGTCTTGGGCACTGCGTGGCCACGCTCACGCGGCGGTGGCGAGAGGCGGTGGAAGCGCGTGGCCCGTGGCAGGGCTGGTGGCAGACCGCGCTTGTGCCATCTGGAAGCACCGTCTGGAAGCACCGCAGCGTGGAGAAAAGAAACGGGCTGGGTTTTTTCCACGGAAAGGCCGGCAGTTGTCTGCATTGGCGCTGTCTCACCAGGGACGCCGGAGGCCCTGCGGAAACTGGGTTACTCGGGAGTTTTGCTTCGGCCGGGCTGTTGGAAAGCCAGCCCCGGCCGTTAGCGCCCGGCGCCGCCGCAGTGGCTCCGCTGGGCTCGGGCGCTAGCGGAGGCGGGAGCTGACCCGGCTGGCGCTGCTCTGCACCTCCAGGGTCCCGGGGCTGGGGGCGAGGGCCCCGCAGACGCCGGTGCCGCGCAGGGAGAGCAGCCGGGCGTTTGCCAGGATGATGATGATATCCAGAATTTTCTTTGTTACCTAGGTCGGTTTTTTTTAATGCTATACATTTGATATAACTGAAGATCAATTTTAAGAGCTTACAGTAATATATTTTAAGTAATATATATTTTAGTATCTGTAAAAAAAATTGACAAAGGATGATTTATGAACTAGATAAACAGGGTATTGGGAGCACGCAGTTTCTCAGCAAGGCCAAGGATAGTTTTACTAGCAGGAGAACTGAAAAGATTCAGTTTTTTTCCATTAATGCAATAAAAATGGGAATTCTTAAAACAAAGAAATCCAATACTGTTTACCACGTGCTTTTCTTCTTTTGACAACA